GTCCATAGTAGTAGTACATAGTAGTAGGCCTAGTCCCACTAGCTAGGCCTGGGCTAGAGCCTAGCTGCTCCTGCAGAGTAGCTAGTAAGTAGCAAGAGGGATATAATAATTATTTATTTTTCAATAATCAAGACAGAAGAAATGGAGATTTATTTCTTACCTGAAATTTGCCAACCAATCAGAGTCATCCCACTTTAATAGCACTGTCTTTTCCCACCATCTTCGGTCCCACTTATCTTTAATCCACCACTTCCTAAGCCTAGGTCGACTACGGCGATATATGTGGAGAAGAGCTTTCAAACGCTGATGCTGGGGGCTTGGAGCCGCCATGCTCTCTCCATGTTTCTTATTATGGTAACCTATCGCCGTTTTATCCCAAATAGAGCATTCACAAGAGCAAACATTGTAAGTAACTGTAAATTATGATTTGTGTCGGTATCAATATCAAAAAATGGAATAATCAGCGGTAAAATCGGAAGCAAACTGCGAGGTAACATGATGTAAATACACTCTGTAAAATATTTCATGCGATGTACATGTGATCTACGCATGTCTACAAGTGTTGTTTGATGTGACGTAAATTGATTTCCGGTCGCCTCGAAAGCGGTAGCGAACGCAGTTCGATCAATTTTCTATCTAACAAAATCTCGCTCACGACCCAGTGCTTCAACCACTCGCGATCAATGGAGACATGTGAACGAGACTTTATACTCTTATAAACTATAATTCTACAAGCAAACATCAATTATTACCGGTTCGGGCATCTATGCCTCTGTATCAGTATTATCATGGTATTATTCAATGACAAATTCAGACGGTCAGTCTTCAACAATAACTTCAGACTGATTAGAGGGTGCACATCACTTAAAATTACCTGAGATCAGATACAGGACTAATTTATGCTAAACTGTTTAATAGCATATCTGTCAAATCGTTTTTACGCAGTAACCGGATATGTAAATTTCATCACTGTGACGTATGGGACATTTTTAGATAAGATAAGAGATAAGATGAGCTTTATTGGTGTATTCACATATAAAAATACATAAACAGAAATGTTTCTTAAATCTGGCATGAACACGTCAACACCAACAAACTAATTACAAAAGCAAAGAAATTGTAACGCATCTACTCATTACATAATTTAGAAAAATTATATATAAAAATATTTTAAATATTTAATATTAATTAAAATTAAAGTTATTACGAAAAATTTCATTTACAACAAATTGTATTGAATATTAATTAAAATTATAAATATTTTATGAAAAATTGTATTTACAATAAATTTAAAAGAATTCAATATCAAAAATATCAATTGCGGTTCAAATATATATCAAAAATATAAAAATTGCACAAGAATACAAGAAAACTAACAATTACAAACATACATACACACAAAAATACACCAGGTACATAAAAAACTTGTGCAAGTCAAGAATCAATTATAATTATAAACTACAAAAATAAAAGCACAAGAATTACAAAAACAACAACAATAAAAGCAGTAACAGAAAAAAACACAAATAAACTTGACTAGCTTACAATGGCGCGGCGAGTTTCCAAGTCCAATCATAAACATCCAGGATATTATTATTTATTTTAATTTCAATGAAGATAACTATCGCTTGACATTCAAGTTGTATAAATGAATTTCATTGGGTATGGGCGAACATCTGAACCGTTTAGTCCTGGTTCGAGGCGGTAAAAGAATGTGCTAGGACAAGTACTTTGTGTAGAGGGTGAGTACAGTTCTATCATTAAAAACTGTATTGACAGTCTTCAATATTTTCTCGTTATACGACGATTCAATGTTGATTAATTGTTCACCAATCAATCTCCCAGCTCTTTTGTTTATTTTGCTAATTCTAAGTTTATCTTTTTAACTCTAAGTTTATCTTTTTGCAGGATATTACCAAAGTAACAGACTTCGCAGTACAGTAATACACTGCGAATTACTGAGTTGTAGAATAACTTTAAAATAGTTCTATCTATGTGCAAGTATTGCATTTGTTTTTAGTATAAAATACTTTGATTAGCCTTGCAAAAACCTTTATTGACATTTGATTTGATTTGACATCTATTATACAACCAAGGTATTCGTATTCTTCAACCATCTTTATTGCATTTCCATTAATTGTAATAGGAGCCAATGTTTCTGCCTTTTTCCTGAAATCTATGACCATTTCTTTTGTTTTGTTTACATTCAGTTTCAAGTTATTTTTACTACACCAATCAGCAAATTCATGCCCTACTCTTCTATATTTAGTTTCATCACCATCAGTTATGTAACCAGAGATGACTATATCATCTGCATACTTTATCACTGTACATTATTTTGAATTAACTTGAAAACTACTAGTGAAAAGTGAAAATAACATAGGTGAGATTACTGAACCTTGGGGTGTACCAATACTAGTGATTTTCTGTTCAGACAGGGTACCATTCAGTTTCACATGCTGTGGTGTGCATATAAGGAAATTATATATCCATGATATTAATATATTATTCACATTCATTTTTTTCAGTTTCTGTACAAGTAATCGAGGCTCAATAGTGTTAAATGCACTTGAGAAATAGACTCTGATTGAATAATACAGTAAGGTATAAATGTGGGCTAACTCCTGACTGCAGTATTTTAATACACGGTTACATATTCCATCAGGGCCAGTACTTTTACCAATTTTTACCTTAGAGAAAAACATTCATACAACACTCTCATTTATTTTTACAGGGTTTACTGAAGCAGATTCATTTTCATTTAAATTAGAGACTACATTCTCTGTCACAGATAATTCATTATCGAATTATTATTTTTAAACTTTTGGAAATACACTGAGCATTGACCAACATTAATTTCTAATTTGTGGTAGGTGTGGGATTGGAGTTCCACAGTTTGTGGCTGGTATCCAGAAATATGGGGTTCTACATCATTAGGCAAACGAGTGGTGAAAGTAATTTGTGATGTTTGATAATTGCATCCGTGGATTAAGGATGTGAAGAAAGGATGAAAGGCTAATCACAAAATTATGGTCCGTCTTATTTTACCTAGAGTGAAGTCGACAGGCATGAGTGATGGTTGAGGTTTACAGACGGTACCTTCCGACATAGGCGAAGGATGCGACTAATCTGAAACCGCAGGACTTTAGGTTTCTTGATTCAACTCCCAAATCATATGGACGAGCAAAAGCTCCTAAGTGCTTCAAGTTCTTCAGACTTGTGTTGTAGGTCGAGAAGTTTGTCTCTTGCATACTGGGAAGGCGGCTTTTGATGGTAGCAACAAATGGGCCTACAGCACCATTATAACCCTTGAAGGAAGGGTAAAAAATGTTGTTGTATTCCTTATGACGGAATATTAAACTGCTCATGTATGTGGCGGGGAAGAATACCATCAGGATCCAGGTGGATACTATCAGAATAAGTGCAAACAGTCGTTTGGTTGGGCTTGGGGGATCCGATTGGTTTGTTTTCAGGTGGTGCATTGGTGATTACTACCTTTGAGGTCCTTTCAGCATTTTGCCAAATCATCTCTAAATAAATGTGTTGCTGCTGGCATGGTTGGCTTACATATTTGCGTGTATCATTCATTAAGATTTGATTTTAGGTTATCCCGGGCGTAACATGCTTAATTCAAAATTAGCATGTGCTAATAACACCTTGATATCTTATACAGTTGTAGGGGTGTCCCCTACAAGTTTTCGGCTGTCCGCAATTTCAGCTACTACTACTACTACTACCACTACTACTATTACGAAATGAAAAACGATTTGTGCATGAACACCTATGAATTTTGTTTATGGGCTCTGCCTCGCTTTGCCTTTTAATTTAATTTTACTCTCTCACTTGGTATTGCATCTCACAATATTCTTCAGTTACAGCATACAAGTTTTATTGCTCTTCCGTGTAAGCGAGGTTACAAGTCCTCGGCTTGACAGTCATTGTGTAACAGTAGTTGGCAAAATGTCAGATAAATATGGCGAGGCTGTTTTTATGCCGAACTTATTTTTTGAAAGATTGTCAGTGGAGGGCAGAAAAAAAATAAAAATTATAATTTTGTTTTCTTATTTAGCAGAGTTTGGCCAAAAACATCCAGATGGAGGAGAAAATGAAAATAAAATTTTATTGGTTAAGTAAGTGAGATGCTTGAAATTTGTATAATTAGGAAAAAATATACACGTAAACCTTTTATTTTTGCCGATTTCAAAAATTTCTATTTTTTCATGGCAGCAGGTGCGCTAATTGGGCAAAAATAAAATTTAATTTGTATTGTATTTCAATTTCTATCAGAACCACATCCAAAGTCTTAAAACTGGTTGGCGCTAATATTTTCCTTTTAACTAATTTTTCAACTGATCATACGTTACTATTTGCTCTACATCAATTTGTCTCAACTGTTGAGCTGCATTCTCTTGCAGTAAGTGCCCCATGAATTTTTTCTTTCATCCCAATTTAAAAATTTTACAAAGGAGTCCAGCCATTCATCCATGTCCTATGCAGCCAGTGGGCCTAAATCTGTTGTTATTGTTCACCATGAGTCTGTAGTTAAAACAGGTATGCCCTGGTCTTCCACCATGTGGCAGTGTGAGGTATCCACCTTACTTCCCATACAGGAACGCATCATCGTGAGACTTATTCTTCTAATCATGGTACTTTTATTGTCCAATAACTGCCACTAACACATCTCCACGTTCTACTTCCAATCCCATACTCTAAATAGAGGTCACTCATTTCTCCACATCTAAAAGGAGTGGGGGGGGGGGTGATCACTTTACTACTATGTATTTATCATTACTTTGTCTAGAAAAGAAATACTTCTGAGTTAAACTTGGCCTATATAGGAAACCTCCGCTTCACATGAACCTGATTCGTACGGGCCAGCCTTTCAAGCATGAATTTTCATGTTCAATTGTTTTGGAACATTTGAGGTAAATTTTGTATTTATTGTTCGTAATGTTTATGAAAAACTAAATGAATGATATGATATCCTTTCTGACCCTATGTTTGAATCATGCATCTTTATTTTTTTTAACATGATCAATATCACAACAATACTTAAGTACAACTATAAATATGTAATGAATCCTTAACAAGGAAGCCTCCTTTCTCTATATCCCTCATATCCCCCAACCAATTTTTCTGTAACAATGTCCACTACCACTTTCAATTAAAAGCAGTCTCTACTCAGAGGTGATAACATTTTAATATTTATTCAGTCATTTGCAGGCATTTAGGTAATTGAAAATATTCACATAAAGAATAGATACATGGCTTAAAAATCAGAACACCCTAAAGGAAATAGCAAATACAGGTCTCACTCCAATTAAAGACCCCACTCCAAAAGGATCACTTACAATTAAAAACTTCTTTTTGAGTCCACATTGATTCCTGTTTTATCTTTACAAAAATAATAACCAAAGTTGCAAAGACCACCGAAAATTCTGATACCAAATGTGTTCTTTAATTGGAGGGAGACCAGTAGTTAAATATTATAATTTTTATATTGTACAGCACACATATTGGTGGTATTGCAAAAATACACTGATGTTTAATATGCCTGAATATTCCAGAAATATATATTTTTTGTAAGACTTTTTACCAAAGTATTGCGCATAGTTGGCATTTATACTGTCATTTCATTGTATCAAAAATGCAATTTAGTTTTTTACATTTTTCTAATACCTGTTGTTTGAGTAACATGTGTGATATATAATAGAACTCACTGCTTAAATTTGTCTATGATTTATTTTATGTACAGTTCACACTCCAATTTGTAACCTCTTTAATTCCAAAACCCCTCTGTTTTTCCAAAGTTCCAACCAATAATCCTCCGTCTTTTAACACAAAGCCAACCAATTAATGTAGTTGGAGACCAAGCCTGGAGACCACCCCAAATTTTCAGATCCTATAGGTGGTCTTGATTTGGAGGGTAAACTGTATTAAGTAATGAACTAACATTTCATTTAGAGTCTGTAAATCGAGCACTTTACTATTTTATAGCTTATGTAAAACTTATGTATAACATAATTATTTATATAATATTATTATATAATATAATATATACAGTATAATTATCACTTTTTAATAGAGGTGACAATCCTGTCAACCAACCTTTGATGACTTGCTTTGTAATCAAGGAGGTATGTAATCAGGATTATTGCAATAATTAGATTTTTACCAATAAACGGTTAACACATCATGAAACGTTTAATTCTTCTTGTTTACCGTGTGGACAAGTTAATTTAAATGTCTTTAAATGTGTTTAGAGCAGGGCTGTGGGTACGAGAACTGCTCCAATTTTACGTTAGTATTATCCGCCCTGTCATGGAGTACGCCGTTCCTGTTTAGGGTACTTGTACATCCGGTGTACAATCCAAAGCTCTAGAACAAATACAACGAAGAGCGTTCCGCATTATCCTCCCCTGGGTTAGTTACAATCGGGCCCTAGCAATCTCTGATCTCCCTGACCCCACTGAACACCACACCCAATTATGCCAACAATACTTTGAAAAAATTAAACATCTAACCCACACACTGCATGATCTTTTGCCAACAGAACAGGCTATTAATTATAATCTCAGGAAAATAAATCAGTTACTACGCCCTAAATTCAAAACAGAAAGATCTAAAAAATGTATTATTAACCATTTCGGGTGTGCCGTTCCGTGACAACAATAACCAAAGCATTTTTTTTTTTTTATTCTGCAGTGATTTGTATTGTTTTTACTTTTTTATGTAATTGTAGAGCTTTTTATCTGTATATCTATATTATTATTCTACTTCAATTTGGTGTAGATTTTTATATCTTGACAGATTGCAATAAAGTGAATTTTGAATTTGCGATTAGCAGCTAAAAAAAATGTAACCTATTGATAGAACATGTTGTGTGGTATTTTTAAACTTTAAAAATTATAAAACTTTAATTATTTGTGCAAAAAAATGTTTAAAAAGAAGGTGGTACATTGATTCCACATGTGCATAAAATGATGAAAATTTTCATTTGCAATTAATTTATTTTGAGTAGCTACGACATTTTAAAAATATTTTACACCAGTTTGTTAATATGTAATAAATTTTATCTGAAAATATTAAAGAGAATCTTCTTTCATTGTGTGTTCATTCAAAGGTCATCACTATTGTGCGTATTTAAGTGTACTTTCAGCAGCTAGTTGAATCAAATGTTGCTTAAATATTTCCACGAGGTGCCGGTCCTGTTCTCACCATTGCTGGGAAAAGTTTAAATCCTGAAAAATACAAAATATTACAAATAATATATACAGCAGCATTGTACAACCTGTAATACAAATACAGTAGTTGGTGAAGTAAGGTACAGTATACATCACTGTTTCTAGAGCAAACAGAACACTGCTCTTGCTCAATCATCAAGACACTAAATATTACAAAACATTATTTAAATCAACCTTAAACAATTTAAATTTCTCAGAAACAATTAAGAAATACAAGTATCAGCTAAAGTTAAAAGGATAAGGGCTGCTATTCTTAAACCAGTGTACTGTTGCTAAATGTTAACTGAGTAATTAGCACAAGAATGTGGCACTGCAGTATTGTATACTTTAGCACAGAGGAGCCGTAATTTTATTACTCATAACTTTAGCAATATTAAGTCGATTCCAGTAAATGATCATTTTGAAGCTTATAATTTGTGGCAAAGACGAGCCAAACCAGTCACTCATCGCAAAAATCGATTTTGAGTTATTAATACAGTGTTAGAGAGTAAAATAATAGCTATAAAATGGTAAAAAAATCGTTCAAATCGGACATTTCCTTATGAAGTTACAAGCGTTTAATCACACAGCTCTTTAAAGAACAATATATGAGAAATCAGCCTTCAAAGTTTATGATTTCAGGCATTTCTCATGCAGAAACTATCTTTAAATCCTTAAAAAGTGTTGTTTTAACATTGAAAATGGGGAAAATAACAGCATAGAATGATGTATAGATATATAAAGGTTAGTTTAGTGCAATAAAATAGATTTTTAAAAATTTGACATTCCAGCATGTTTTGGCCATTTTCTCTAACACAATTTGCGACGAGTGACTGGTTTGGCTTGTCTTTGCCACATTTGGAGAATGTGAATATAATTTAAGACAATTTTTATGTTTTTTTTTGTCACTAATAATAGGTCTACTGGTTTTGGCATGGCAAGCCCCATATTATTATAAACAGTAATACAATACAAAAAAGATACATTCAACTCCATGTAAACACATTCGCTGCCAGCGAAGAGTATACTCGCCCCACAGGGTGTTGCTGAGGGCGCTAGGGACAACTAACTCATCAAAATGGGGGTAACATTCTAGCATTCATTACTTCATTGTATACATTCTAGAACCATAGCTGATGGTTCGGGGAAACTACACCTAGAGGAAAACATAAAATAACTTATATGTTTGTTGTGCTATGTTGCCAAATGTACACTCGATTGCACATATACCAAACTATGCAAAAAGGGAACGAGAAAACTCCCTTTGCTGTCCTCAAATATTTCTCTGCCAATTTATTAGACACACCATTTTGATGATATATGACTAGATGAAATTTCAAAAAAGTATGTTTGTACATGTATACTTTTTTTGGCGCAAAGGAAAGAACCTAAAAAAAAAGGTCTGGTAGTCACCGTGTTAAATTACAAGAGCTAGGATACTATAGCTCTGCTGTTTACAAATGGCTTCGAATTTTCTCTATCCTAGCTACAACTTGCTGAATTGTACTTGGGCATTATTTGCACACTCTTTATCCTTTTTCAACACCTACTCTATATCCAATTGATTAGTTCCCTTGAATAATTAAAATTTAATGAAGTTTTCCATTATATTCCAGAAAAAAAAACAACCAATGGAAGTGAAGCAATACATTAGGATGTAGTGTGAATGTTTTTTAAACAGGAGATTTACTATATTACAGTAGTAAATAATATATTCAGTCAGTACTAATCCTGTGAATATTTTACAAGGGGGTTATATACAGTAGAACAAAATAATGTCGGTTTAATCAAAATTATTGCCAAGGAATCAATTAAATCAAGGAAACTATAACAAAAAAAAAAATCATTTTTTTAAATTATATTAAAAATCAATGAGACCCTAGAACATTGCTCTTATACACATCT